GAGAGAGAGAGAGAGAGAGAGAGAGAGAGAGAGAGAGAGAGAGAGAGAGAGAAAAGGGGGAGCGTTGGTGCTAGTGCACACGCTCTTACACACACTATCGCTGCATTTTCTTTTACATAAATCCGAAGCAGAGTGACATACTTTTCTGCAAAAAGAGGCAGATAAGCATTAAGATAAGTAAGAATTCTCTCTCAAGAACTGTGTCACAAGGGGCAGCGAAGATATTCTCAAATGTCACGCAAAAAGCTCAACAGAAATGCGAGATATATCTGATTTTAGACAGTTTTGAGAATTTCCAAATTTAAGTTTATAAACTCACAGTAAATTTTTATTGCAAACTGTATTTGGAAACTAAATTTCTAGTTATTGCTGTTTGTTTGTTTGTCTGTTAGCTTGTTATTTGTCTTTTTGCTCTGGCATTTCCTTTTGCCCCTATTCAATTTCCCTCGATACACTTTGATGAAAAGGAACGCAACCTATAAATCGACTTGACTGGGACATAGTATCCTGCCCTTCTGCTGAGACCTATGATATTAATACGGGATGCCCACTACGGCTGGATCGGGCCAATCGCCCGACTCGATCGCCTGAAACTGAAAACAAACACGTGTGTTTTTTTAGGCGATCGAGTCAGGCGTAGTGGGCACCCCGTATACGCTTTCGATCGCCCAAAAATGTACACACGTCCGAGAGTAAATTATAGTGACGTACCCCAGACAATGAAGAATTTGCCGGTCAATGTGGAGAACACGATGAAAATCTGGTACTTGCCGCATCCTCCAGATTTTTCCACAAGGACATCCACTGAAGGAGTTTCTGGAAAAGAAAGAGAAGAAAGGGTTAATGGTGTAGAATACTTACCTCTTTTCGTGCCTCTAGTTGGCAGCGCATCGCCGAAAGATGTTGAGTAAGATATTGATGTACCTCGTCAGGGGATGGTACCGAAATAGTAAATTAACCCTATCCAGTCGCCCTGGTGTCATTTTGTACCCCCGGGGTTGTATTCTTCACATTAAAAATTTTAGAATACTTCTAGTACGAAGATCTTTTTGAAACTTTCAGTATTTCTCAAAAAATCATGTTGGCAGACTGCTATGCAGAGCATACGGAATGGATTAACGAGTAAATTTCCTCTTTGGAAAGTGGTGGCACAGAGTTCCCCACGTTGTATGGATACGATAGTAAAACATGACGTACGGACAGGGTTAAGTCACAGGAAGTATGTTTTTGACATGTTCTAAGAATGCCAAAAGCAAGATTGCCTTCTCAGACATGGTATTGGAAGCCAACTGGAAAAAGAAAACGAGGCAGACCAACTGGAAGCTATAGACCAGGCACACTAAGGGATGGGGCAATCACCCGGGGCCTGGATTTGCCGAAATTGGAGGACGTGGCTAGGGACAGACAAGCGTGGCGGAGACCGCTTTCCGCCTTATGTACCTGACGGTATAGGGAAAGAGTAAGTAAGTCAGTAAGTAAATAAGTAAGTATGTTTTTACCAATCATCTTTTAGAATCCCTGAAATATAAGACACTCAAACCTACTCTAGAAACCACCTGCAGAAGATAATCACTTGAGCAAACAAACACTTACCACC